AAGACCACACTTTCCTCGGGCCATTATCTCCGTAACCGTTCAACTTTGGACATAGGTGTTTTGGGTTATATCGGCATACTTTAACATAAGGAACACCCTCCCGAAGTTTGGTCCATTGCTCCTGGGACACCTGTATATATATATACAGCATTGGATGGTAGGATGACAGACAAATGACAAATTGGAAGGAAGTGGTTTTGTCCTAACTGATGTATTATCTCAGCAACTCAATGGAGAGACTGAGAAAAACCATAATAAACCCGCCCAGATATTCAGCATCCTGGCATAAGGTTCAATCAGATGACATCTCATTAAAGAGTAATGAATGTTTACAAAGAAACAAAGTTTATAGTGCGTTTCTGTGGTCTTATGTCAATTCTTGGCACAAAAAATGGAAATTATCAATATTAAGTCATTAAGCTGATTCATGTGTACCGAAGAATGGATACTTGGCAGGGTTGCAAAATTAACCTAAAAACTGATGTGACCCATGTATTCAATGAAATGCACGGCTAGTACCTCAATTTGGTCATGATCACTTCCAAATCATTACCAATTCACCGTTCAGCAGTCATCCTACCTATCAACAGGTGGTAGCCTGTGATATTTACAGCATCATGAAACAATGAGAAAAGACAAGCCAGATGGGGATTAGTAACAGGGGCAGAATATGCCAAGTGGAAGGCCTCAGTCACTATCCATTAACTTCCTTCCACTGTTAAGTATGCCAAACAACTTTCATCAATATGTCCCAGATTTTTCTCAAGCTTAAAAAACCTCTTAGTTGGCCTGCCTGTCCACCATTCAACCACCCATCCACTCATCCATCTATGGTTCTACAGTCCTTTTTGTTGGACTTGGGCCGCTTTTTCAGTTTCTTAATCCCATACACAATCGGTAGACACCTTGGACGAGTGATTAGCCCGTCACAAGGCCACTACCTACACAGAGACCAACACAAACAGAATAAACATACATAGACATCCATGCCTTGAGTCTGAACCCACGATCCCAGCGCTTGAGCAGGCGAAGACAGTTCATGCCTTCGACCACACAGCCACTGTGATTGCCTCTGAAATTCATGAAACAGTTAAATTACCTATGGACCATACTAGCAAGTTTTTAACTCCTCTTACCTTGAGAGCTCCACAAACTTCAACGGTGTCTACATCATCCACGACGACGACTCTGAAGTACTCAGTCTGGATAATGTCTCTGAGTACTGGTGCTATATGTTTATTTTTGCAGCCTGGAAGTAATAGATACACATGAATTAGTGACCAGACATAGGGTCTGGACTGACTGAAAATGCACAACTCCTAATTGCAAAGAATTATAACACTACCACTAACTCACACGCTTAACAAATCATTGTAGCATACGCTGTCTCAGTCTGTTATAGTCTTCACTAGCCACTGTTTGGTTATGGTTCCCAAGGCCATGCCACAGCTCATGTGATTAGTCACTAGCTTCCCACCACGGCAGCCCGGGTTCGACCCCAGGTCTGGTCAAGTGGAATTTATGGTGAACAAAGTGGCGCTGGGGCGGGTTTTCTCCGAGTACTTCAGCTTCCCTTGCCAATCTTCATTCCACCAAATTCTCCGTCGCCATAATCACCCGGGGCAGGTACAAGAAGCCAATCGATGGCTGCTGTGCCAAGTGGACCCAGTTGGACTCCAATCCGCACTAAGCGAATTTAAAAAAAAATTATGGTTCCCAACAGTGAAGATTCTTGTGCTCTCTTGCTTAGGTTGTTGCCGGCTGCCTACCATCTCACAATTCCTTATAGCTGCAACTCCTAACCATGACCGTCTATTCACTGGCTTTCAACTCACTGGATGATCTAGTTAGGTTTGGCATGGACCGCACAGAGAACATCGTTCCAACAATCTCTTGTACTGTTGATGCAGATATATCTTTATTGTGTTGTTGCTTAGCAGCAGACAGCTTCTCTTCTTAAACTATTCTGTCACCGCATCACAATATGATCCACTAATCTTGTTTTCAAAATAAGCATGTTTTTTTCTGAAATTAGTATGGTACAGTATGTATGCATGGTACAGGGTCCAAAAGTAATTATTATTGCAGATTTATAAATGTGAAAAGTAATTTTTCTCACCCTACAGGGCCCCCTACCTACTGATAAAGGTGGTGACACCATGTATGGTGATACATTTCACGAGAAAGACACGTCGATATACACTTTGATGTCAGCTTCATAGTATCGTGATACAGACTCTAATACACGCATCACAACCACCTACCATTAATAAAACATATCTCATCAAACATCCCCATACATGCTGCAAGCTGCATCACAATAAATGCATCCCTCCTTGTATCAACAGACGTGGGGCCCTCAAGCGAAGAACAAATGACTGTTTGAGAACATGATGATGAGTAGAAAATTTTATGTAAGAGAGAGGAAGTGACAAGAGGCTGCTTAAAACTGCACAATGAGCTTCATACTTCATACTTCTGCCAACATATTTTGAGGGAGTCAGCAGACAGATCATAAATGGATATAAAATGCAGAACATATGATATTGAAATCTGGAAAAAAAAAACATTTATTTCTTTACATATCCTCCATCAACATTGGTACCCTTGTCCCAGCGCTTTACCAATGCATCAAAATCCTCAGCATTGAAGTCTTTTGACTGTTGTCTCAGCCACTTCCACACTTCCATTTCAATCTCTTCTTCCTTGAGATAATTCCTCAACCCACCTGTGAACCACTTTATGTGGCAAACATTTCCCACCATAAACAGGAAACATTTATTTATGAATATCCTTTGCATCGAGTCCTTTTTCCCACAAAAAAAAAATGCATATCAAAATTCTGCTCTTCAGTAGGATACTCCTCAAGCATGGTTTCCCTTTAGACTACTGAAAACATCCTCTGAACATGTGCATTTGCTACTTAGACTGTCATGACGCTGGACTCTGCTGCTACCTAGTGATACATATAGAAAACCTATTACGTCCATTACAGCTGTTTTACTTCCATTTGTGTTTACTGATTCTCCCTCATATTAGGGTGTCAAACTGAGGAGGGTATGTGTGGAGATACGCAGTTGGAAGATGAGAATGCATAAATTTTTTTTTTAATAATATGAGGTGAAGAGACCACTCAGGGGATATCAGCACATATGGCAGGAAAACTAAGCAGGGTGCTCACTGCTTGCCCACTGTTCCACCCTGAAGATGAAGACATGACATTCCTCTATCACACTACACAGTGTCACTCCTTACTGAGGTTTCTCATGGTTCTCCCAAGCCCCTCCAAGTAAAATGTTGACAGATGTGTTCATCTGCCACCTTACCGTCCGAAGCTACGCAGTCTAGCTACTTACAGCACTGTAAAATATTCCACGAAATAAATACACCATGTTATATTCCAGAGAAAAGTACTCTTCGTGTTACATTTGTCTTGCTCGCCATATTGTGACTTACTGGCTCCTTAATCCTCTGCTTGCCATGAGCCAATTAGTGCACCTGTGTTAGAACTGCCAGAGCCAAAGTGACTGGCTCAATGTTCGTCACTCAGTGATGCATTTCTAACAAAATATGGCATCAAGTGTTATTTTCAAATATTTCAAGGAAAGAAACCTCCTCTTATCATGCATACATCAGCAGGCCCCAGTGACCTGGACCACTATGCTGGTAGGAGCTTAAGTTCCTGGTAGCACCACCCATGCCAAACAGGTCAAAGGCATAGTCCCTGGTGCTGCAGGCTGGGGGTTGACCATTGGGCTAAGAACCCCACCCTGGAAAAATCTACTGGCATGAAACCAGGGAGCAGGCCAAGACCCACATAGAGTTGTAGCATCAGTAAAGAGGAAAGAACAGACTTTTATGCCACCTACATCTGTGGCCATTTTAAAATAATCTGCAGAAGGATTGCAGGTTCTTATGTGAAACTACATTTATACCAAACAGTTCAATACTGGGGTTTGGAAAAGGGTTAATACACTCACATATAACTGTAGCAATTAAGCACCTGAGCGCCACACTTTCACAATCACAATTCAACTGGCCAAACCTTGCATTTTTTTCAACACCAATACCACCACAGGAGCATGCAGTAGCATAGTTGTTTGAGGAACTATGCTACAAACCAGAAAGTTGCAGGTTTCATTCACAATAAGGTTACTGGATTTTTCACTTTACCTAATACTTGCAGCTGCATTGTGACCCTGGGGTTGACTCAGTCTCTTAAGAGAAATGAGTACCAGGAATCGTCCTGGGGGTAAAGGGTGGCCAGCATGTAAGCTTGACAACCTCACCGCCATCTGTGAGCCAACTGTCTAGAAAATATGGGAGCCTCAACATCTCACAACCCTATGTGCTTCCACAGCCTGTCACAGGAATAGCTCCATAATTCTGAAGGATTTAAAATTCCCTAGTCTGGGAAAATAAATGTTAACCGACTGATCAATCAGTCAATCAATGTCATTTCCTCGCTCCCCTTGTACTTACCAATTGTTGTTTCGCAGAATTTCTCCAGGGCCACCTCATTTGCCAAATTAGCGCCCATCAGCACACTCACTTCAATTTGCAAGTGTTTATTAATAATATGTGAGATAAGCTGAATGCCACCGCCGTCTGCAATATCAAAACCCTGCAAAACAGCCCCAATCATCAGTGATGCTTCTCCTTCATAATAAAGACACAGGTCCCACATAAGAGTACAGGTAAACCAAGCAACCATCTGGGGCAACACAATTTAGGGAAGGCACCTGCAAGCCTTCTTTCTATTTATTTTTCTTTTTCTTTCTTACCTTTGCTTAAATGAAAATTTCTCAAATAAAAATGATATTTATGAAGACATTAAGGGCACTTAAATTCCAGGAATTCTTTTTGCAAGTCAATTCAGAATGTATATGAATTTTTGATAATTGATTTTTCAGAGGATTTTTGTTCTATAATTTTATAAAGACACATGATTGAGATATTTCATTTTAAAAGGGGAGCAAAAATTATAAAATTAAACGCCACAGTGGCAAATTTAAATGTCTGGGGGAATTTAATGTGCCCATTTGGGTAAGATAAGAACATGGAAAAAAAAACACTTGACTAGTTAATAATGTGCCAAGAGCATTCCAAAATCATATCAATATTAACAAACAGTAGTATTTTCTGGGATGTGATACCATTCAGTCTGGTATAAGTTTAGAGACATTTTGAATGAATGTCAGCAAACTTCTACCAGACTACATGGTGTTGCACCCCAGAAAATTGTTTGCTCCATTTGCTTCCCTCTGTTCAAACTGTAAGATACATATGCCTGTCTACATCACAAGCATTTCCAACCACATACCTTGATAAGTGACAATCCAACGGCCGTAGGTTTTATCTTGCCAAGCAATGTTGAACATAGAGTCCTGATAAACTGGTGAGGCACCACAAATACAAGTATATCGGCTTCTTTTGCAGCCTCCACAACATCTGGCACTGCCACCTGCAGGGAGAGAATGAAATTTACCCTGTACTCTGGCTAATCTATACAGCAGCCAAGGATGTTAAAGTTATGTGCAAATATTGCAGTAAAATTTTTATACGTTATTCCAGTTCTCATTCGCAATCATTACTTTGTAATTACATGAATAAACTTTAATTTCTTAATTTGAGTGTTATTTTTTCTTTTAACTTTCAGCTGCTATATATTGTGATACTGATAAGGAAAACAATCATATCCCAGGAAAAGAATGGAGGAATAGTTTCAGTATTCTTAACCTCGGCACTAGAAAGAGGCAAATGGTCAGCTTCTCATCCCTGTCACTTTTCTCCCAGGGAAGTAGATATTGCCTGTGAGAGTCAGTTTTCATATTTTATTTCAAAATGTTGACCATTGGTCAATTTAAAGAAAAAAGAAATCAAAGGTTAAGATAAGTGACAAAATTCCAATTTGGGAATAAAACAAGCTGTATCAATGTCCCCTTCATCTGTTGTTGCCCATGAATAAAGTATGGCTCAGTGTTATTAATCATGCCTTTCCATCTATCATACAGACAAGACAGGCACTGGCTCATTACAACAGTGAACAAACTACTTTACTCAGGGCTGAATGATCAGATCTTAATTCCTAACACATAGACACCATACAAAGGACCAAATTTCATCAAACATAAAGCATAACCATCTTCTTCTTGGACTGATATAGCAGCTTCAGTGGAACATCTAACTCCTCTCAGGTTTGTGTAATAGCAATAACTTAAGACAACTAGAAACTGCACAATGGACCCTATTCCACCACTCAACATCAACACTTCCTTTGGTTTGATTAACTGTTTATTAACTGGTGGCAAATACTTCACAGGTTTTCCATGCAAGCAATGCATAATGCTGCATCTTTAATACAGCAATCTTTAATAATGGCCAAGACTGGTGTCCAGATTAATTTAGATAAATATATTATTATATTTAAGCATCCTCTTGCACTCTATACGATATATGACACGTAGCAAAGATAAGCAGCGGCCGCACACAGGGAGCCTATACAGAATAACAGTGCTGAAAACAAGAAGTAGCCGCTGCAGCACTACAGACATAGGGCGAGTAACCCTGAGAATTTTAATTTTTAAAAGAATTTTAAATTAGAACTGAAGATTTTAAAAGTGCCTGTTCATAATATCAAAATTGACGAGTGTAGGCAACAAAGATAATGCACAAAGTAGACAGATATCAGCAAAGTAGATTCTGATCAATCAAAACCTGTTGGTAACGACGAAAAGAACAACTGTGAAGACTTATGGTTTTAAATTTTAAAC